ACAACAATTCTTGAAGCCAATAGGGAAAGGAAAATAAAAGGCCTACAACATGGTCCTTCTTGAATGGCTTGATACACAGTGATGGGAACAATCATTATCTATACTGTTGTTGCTGATGAGCCAGTTCCAACTCTCAGCAAGTGACGTTGTATAGGGTTTCTGAGAAGTGGCTGGTAGATTTGAACCATCAACCTTGTGGTTAGCAGTCTTGGGCTTATCCTACAGTACCACCCCAGAACTCTAGTCAGTAGGCTCCTAGAATTAGACGGCTAAAGGTAGAAGAGACTTGTGATCCTGAGTCTAATTACTTAGCCAGCACTTATACCTCATCCACATTGTTCTAGACATCCAGTAAACTGTTGAACTTCTTGTAGTAATAGTTATATTTCCTTTGTAAATCAGTAAGTTGGTTTTCTGATTTTGTATGTTTCTGTATGTACTTGGGTCATATTGAGTCCATTCCTGAAACTAGACCTGTGTAGATACATTGACAGATCAGGTGTCTGAGGCTCTCAGGTGTGATGAATTTGCCATGGTGATGCTTCTGTTTCCAAACATTTCCTCATCCAGGAGCCTTCTTTCTGAAAGTTGATCTCTAATCTTTTCTCCTCTAGTAGATTACAAGCTCCCTAAGAACAAAGGCCCCTATCTAATTCTTCTATATAGTCTCTGAGGTACCTAACCCAGTAGACACAGAGTGAATGTTTAATTAAATTGATCATTCAAATGGTTAAAATGTTCTTAAACTGGATTACTTCACCTTTTTATTCTTTTCATCCCCTGGACCTACTTCTAACTTCTAGAACAACACAGAATTAACACTGTCTGTGTTGTATCCCTTCATTTCCAGTACAGGCAGTCACCAGATTATGCACTACTCGTAATTACAAGTCAGCCTATGTAAAGCCTATTATATTAAAAATTCAAGGTATATACAGTGGTTCGGAGTCCTGGTGTGGTGCTGTGGGTTAATGCACTGACTGCAAGGTTGGTTTGAACTGCAAGATTGGTGTTTCAAGCTCCTTGGAAACCCTATACAGGGTCACTATGGGTCGGAACCAACTCGACGGCACTTAACAACAACATAGAGTGGCTCATAATAAGAAACGATGGCTATTTTGTGACACACATCAAAACGTTATTGTATTAAAGTTGTTTTAGTGTACCTAGAACCGTTTAAGTTTTTTTTATGCATAGAGGGATACGCTATATACAATATACTAACACAAACATTTAACCAGCTGACATTAAGTAAGTACCTAACTATTACAGTTTATGTACAAATTTGACTTAAAGACAAATTAAGGAACAGAGTTTGTTCATAATGCAGGCACTGCCTTGTATATATTCTGTTAAAGTTGTAAATATTATAAATTAAATATTTAAATTCCATCTTCAATTTCTTTGCTGCCAATTTACAAATACAGTTGATTTTCTATATTGACCTTGTACCCAGTGATAGAACTTATAGATTACTCAGTTCTAGTAGATTTTTGTTATATCAGTTACTCAGGTTTTCCTGTGTATATCTGAATATCTTTTATTTCTATAAAGGAAGTTTTATATCTTCTTTTCCCCTCTTTGTGGATTCACCATGGTGATGCCACTGTGTCCACAGAACCAGAATGATTCTTTTATACATTCCCTATCAGCAAACCTTCTTTGTGTAAATTCTAATAGCCCTTGAGAACAAGGGGCTATGTAGCTGTTACATTTATTGCACTCATTAAGATCTCTGGTACAATTCTGAATAGAAGTGGTAAGTATAAACAATCCTGATGTGCTCCCAATCTTAGAAACCATTGCACTACTGTGATGTAGATTTTTTATACTTGCCCCTTCTATTCATATTGTACCAAGACATTTGGAAGAGAGCTATCTGGCCAACTGATTGGGTAAGATATCCATATTTGTGCCCATTCAAGAGAGGTGACTCAACAGAATGCAGAAATCATTGAACAATATAACATTAACATCACATACAAGTAAAATTTTGCTGAAGGTAATTAATAAAAACAGTTGCAATAGTACATCGATAGGAAACTGTCAGAAATTCAAGCCTGGTTCCTAAGAGGGTGTGGGACTAGGTATATCATTGCTGACATCAGCCAGATCTTGACTGAAAGCAGAGAATACCAGAAAGCTGTGTACTTGTGCTTTGTTGACTATGCAAAGGCATTCACCTGTGTGGAACATAACAAACTGTTGATACCATTGCAACAAATGAGTATTATAGAACACTTAATTGAGATCATGAGGAACCTTTACATAGACCAAGAGGCCGTAGTTCAGACAGAACAAGGGGATACTGAATGGCTTAAAATTAGGAAAGGTGTGTGCATCAGTGTTGTATTCTTTCACCATACATATTCAATCTGTATGCTGAACAAATAATCTGATAAACTGGATTATATGAAGAAGAACATGGCATCAGGATTGGAGGAAGACTCATTATTAACAACCTGTGATATGCAGATGATACACTCTTGCTCACTAGAAGCGAAAAGGATTTAAAATACTTATTGATGAAGATTAGAGACTAAGACACTACAGCCTCTATATGGATTGCATCTCAATGCAAGGAAAACAAAAGTTCTCACAACTGGACCAGTAAATAACATCATGATAAATGGAGAAAAGAGTAAAGTTGTCAAAGTCTTCCATTTGCTTGGATTCTTAATCAACACTCATGGAAGCAGTAGTCAGGTTATCAAATGACATACTGCATTAGGCATAGCTGCTGCATAAGACCTCTTTAAAGTGTTCAAGAGCAAAGACATCACTGAAAGCAACCTATCAAAAAAATGGAGACAGCCTAAATGCCCATCAGTGGAAGAATGGTTAAGCTTTGGTGCATACACACAATGTTGAATACTGATTAATCTGCAAAACATCTCACAGCATGGATAAACCTGGAGGACATTATGCTGAGTAAAATGTTGTTGATAAGAGCTGTCCAGTTGGTTTTCATAACAACCCTGTACAGGGTTTCCAAGGAGCAGCTGGTGAATTTGAACCATCGACCTTGCAGTTCAAACCAGTCTGTGGTCCAGTGCATTATCCCACAGTGCCACACCAGGACTTGGTTGATAACAAAAGGACAAATATTGTATGAGACCACTGTTGTAAAAAGTTAAGAAAAGGCTTTCTTGATAAAAGAAACATTTTGTGATGGTTCCTGGAGCAGGAGGTGAATTACTCACAAGATGGAGGGTAGACCCATGTTAACCCAGGTGCCTGGCAGGCAATTTACAAGAGGGGGGTTGGCAGAGAAAAGATGAAGGTAGCAGGAGATACAAGGAGGAATGCAAGAGTTAAAATGAATAGAGCTAAATACTGTTAACTAATGGTACATGGAGGAAATTGCAATCATTGCAATGAAGCAAAGTATGATATGTTTAATATAAAATGGATTATCTGCTCTGTAAATCTTAACTCAATTCAAAGTGGTGGTGGTTATGTGCCATAGAGCCAGTTCCAACTCATAGCAACCCTGTACAGGGTTTCTGAGGCTATAAATCTTTAATAGAGCAGAAAGCCTTATCTTTCTCTCACAGAGCAGCTATAGATTCGAACTGCTGGCCTTAAGGTTAGCAGCTCAGCTGTTAATCCAGTATGCTACCAGAGCTTCTTCAGTTCACAATAAAAGTTTTAAAAAATAAGTTTTTAAAAAACAAAAGCAGATTTTGCTTTGATAGATTTTCTGTTGCGTTTCTATTTTCCATGTAATTGATTTTCTTTCTCTATGACCTTTATTGTTTGCTTTCTTGTATTTTTTTTTTCATTTCAGTTCTCCTCCTTTTTCTAGTCTTTGAGGTATTTATTCATTTCTAATATAGGGCATCAGTGCTATAGTTATTCCCCTAATGGCTGCTTTAGCAGCATCCCACAATTTTTTTCATTTTTATTCAACTTAAATGACTTTCTAATTTTGTTTAGATATTTTCTTTGATACATGGGCTATTTAGAAGTGTACTACTTAGTTCCCAACTAGTATATATACTAAGTAGTATACTTTCACAGATCTTTCTGCTATTGATTTCCACTTTACTTTTGTTGTGATCACAAAACATACATTATATGACTTAAATGCTTTTAAATTTATTGAGACTTTTCTTGCTAGGAAATGGCTTGTTTTGGGAAATGGTCCATATATACTTAAAATGTATGTGTTCTGCTTTTGATGGGCCTGGTGTTCTATAAATTTCTGTTTGATAAAGTTAGTTGATTGTGTCACCCAAGTCTTCCATATCATTTCTAATTATCTGCCTGCTCATTTTCTCATTATTGAGTGCAAGGTATGGTGATCTCTTGACTATAAAATCTGTTTCTTCCTGTGATTCTATTAGTTTTTGAAGCTATTAGATGCTTAGACATTTAGGACTATTATTGCCTCTTGATGAATTGACCCACTTATTATTATGAAATGACCTTCTTTATCCCTGGTAATAGTTTTTGCTCTGAAATTTAGTGTTACCATAGCATGTCTTTCCTATTCTTTTCTTTTTAGCCTATTTGAGCCTTTATATTTAAAGCATATTTCCTGTAGGCAGTATGTACTTGGGTCTTGCTCTTTCATCTATGAATCTCTGCTTTTCAGTCCTTCAGGTATTTGAAGATAGTCCCATACCGTCCGTCTTCTCTTCCTTGGTTTGACTGCTGCTTTTTTCTAAATCCTTCACTATTATGATCAAACTTGTCTGTGTATATTTTACTTAAAAGTGATGTTATATAACAGTGGATACTTTGAGTTATCCTCTATAAGCAATACTGCCTATTGCTTATTGTTTCAACTGATTAACATTGTCACCAAAGATCTATTTCTAGTTAGTCAGTAGCCCATTTAGTTAAAACCAATCTGAACCATCTGTTCCACTTTTCTACCCTAATAGTATTTTTAACTTGCCTAGCTACTAATTTTAGTTGTATTATTTTAAGTGTGGGTCTCATAAAGCTAGGCTATAACTAAAAGTATATTAAACTATTTGCCTTTTTTCCAGGTAAAAATGTCTCCACCCTGTCATCCATCCAAAGGGGACCATGTGGCCAAGGTCAGTGAGTCCTAAAGGCACAAAACCAACTTCCTACTTCTGTCTGTATATTCTCCTTGTTGAACAATTAGCTCAAAATGGGAATTACTTTTAATCGCCTTAATGCTGTCATGGGTTCTTTCTAACTGGATACCTTCATCAGAACTTACTGACTCTTCCAGAGAACCCAAGTGGGGCCCTGGGCCCGGGGTCAGTCCAGGTCCTGGGAGTGTGCAGGTTGCCCTATGTAAAGACATGCTACATGCAAGAGGTTCTTTGCATCTGTTTGGTTTGTGAGGAAAAACTATGGGATGTATTATACTCAGTTGGTACGTGTATTTTGTGGATGATGCTTACTTTTACTTTGCATTTTCGTCATTCTCTTTTTGTGTATCACCCCCCATTTCCACTTTCCTTGAACCCTACCATTTTGGTGTAAGGATCAGAGTAAGTGAATGCTCAATAGATAACTTTAGGTCACATGTACTTAACCTACTTGCACCAGCACAGTGAGGGAGAGCATCCCCAAATGCATTCTGAAGTGTTTCTGAAACCCGTCTCTGAACAAATAAGGCTTTATACCCTTCATTCAAAACTGCCAGACTAAAGCAGAGCCATCTGTGAATTTATTGTACTGTGGTGGCTTGCATGTTGCTGTGATGTTGGAAGCTATGCTACTGGTATTCAAATACCAGCAGGGTTACCCATAGTGTTGCATTGAAACTTTCAAACTAAGAAAGATTAGGAAGTAGGACCTGGCTATTTCAAAATATACTACTTAGTTCCCAAATGTTTGAGCATTTTAATGCTAATCAGTTAAAACAATAAGCAGTAGCCAATATTTCTTACAATGGATAACTCAAAGTATCCATTGTTATATAATATCTCTTTAAAGCAAAGTTGTTGTTAAGTGCCGTGGAGTCTGTTCTGACCCCTAGCGACCCTGAACAAGGTTTCCGAGGTTGTAAATCTTTGCGGGAGCAGAAAGCCTCATCTTACTCCCGCGGAGCAGCTGGTAGTTTCAAACTGCTTACCCTGAGGTTCGCAGCCCGATTCATAACCACTACGCTGCCAGAGCTCCTTTAAAGCAAAGTAGACACAGACAACTTCTAAAAATATTGGCCAGTGAAAACCTTATGAATAGCAACAGAATACTATGTGATATAGTGCTAGAAGATGAGCCCCTCCGGTTGGAAGGCATTCAAAATAGGATTGGGGAGGTGCTGCCTCCTCACAGTCGTTGTTGTTACCACCAAGTCAGTTAGCCTCAGCGACTCTATAGGGTTTCTGAGGCTATCTATAAATCTCTGCAGAAGCAGAAAACCTCATTTTTCTCCCGCGGAGTGGCTGCTGTGCTCAAACTGCTGACCTTGTGGTTTATCCTACAGAGTCACTGCGCGCCTCCTCAGAGTAGAATCAACCTTGATTGATGTGGGTGGAGGAGAGCTTTAGGGACCTCCTTCATTTGCAGTTGTGGTATAATTCAAAATGAAAAGCAGCTGTAAACGTACATTAATCAGAATGTATGAATTATGAATCTAGGAAAATTAGAAGCTGTCAGAAATGAAATGGAATGCAATAAGATCAGTATCCTAGGCATTAGTGGACTGAAATGGACTACCGATGTTAGCCATTTCAAATTGAATAATCATGTGGTCTGCTGTGCCCAAAACTATAAATTGATGTGGAATGACATCACAATCATTGTCAAAAAAAAAACAAAAAAAAAAACCATTTAAACCATTTCTAGATCTATCTTGAAATACAGTTC